TGGAGATGACCCTGGCTAGATAGAGTGACATCGCTCACAACTTAGGGCTGGAAATCGTGGTTTCGTGTCCAAACTTATGGTACTGATATATGTTATATAAGTATTACAGTATTGTCTAGCAAGTCTTGGGGGAGGGGCAATGCGTTTCTTTCGCAACGTCTCTGAGGATGGCTGTAAAGCTTCTATTGGTACTTTTTTACGATCGTTAGCCTAATATTCTCTTCACAAAGGCAAGAGATTTGCATATTCGATAATCTTTCTCATGTTATTATTTTAACATGTGTAACTAACCGCTGAACACACTTTCGAGTTCACGATCAGGTGCGCAAGACAGAGTCAACTTCAGGAGAATTCCGCCTTCAATCTATATGTCAACTCCACCGCATTTTCATACCTTTTCAGACTTCAACAAGCAAGAATCCGATTGTTGGAGATAGGCTAGGTAATTTTAAATTGTGAACATATCCAAGACCTCGGGGACTATACTGCTTCTCGAATAGCTCAGCTAATCACCGCCTATATCACCTCCAACTGGAGGGGTGGGGTCCAAAAGGATTTTGGTACTACCGTAATGAGACGATGCATCCATGGCAGTGTGGAAATGGGTCGACCGACGTCACATTCTATAGCTATACTAATGGTTATGCCTGTGGGGTTTCCAGCGTTCGAGCCAAATAGCGTGTATTAGGGTCCTTCAAAAAGGCCATAATTATTGGCAGTACTGGGTGCCGACCCCTACCAATTCTTGGCATAAGATGGGCCGATGGCCTATCCAAAAGGTCGGTACCCAATCTACGGGTAGATCTAAAGTTAGATACTTAATAGTTACGAAAAACCTCATGCATGTATGTCGAAATGTAACACGTGCTGGGGCTATGTACATTGGTGTGCTTAGTTAAGCTATGAGGGAAATCACGTACATATTCCGGGTTTAGAAATGAACGTGTGATACATAGACTCTAGGTCAGATACTATCTTCTATTCTCCTTTTGAGTAAAGAAAACCAACTGGGAAATATGTATGTAGGTAACTAGTTTCTTATTGTCAATTGAATGGAGGTGACCACCATGAATAAACAGTAATACCTACATACGAACGGAACTTAGCCTACATAGTACTTAAATCATTATTCGGGATTACTCTCTGGGCACCCGTGCATGTCTGAGGCTGACTAACACCGAACCAATCACCATCTTAAAACGCTCTGTTTCAATTAATAATACATCTTAACAGGACAGGACTCAACTCTTTGTTCAACCAAGTTGTACCACAGCACCACACTATACACTTGTTTTAATTTATACTTTAGTCATCTCCCATCTGAAATTGAAACCATGCGCTCTATACCGAATTGCTCAGCAAATTGAAAATTATTTCAAGACCTGAGAAGAGTGCCGACTGCATATTGCGACTCTATCTGAAGATTAGGTACCTATCTACCTACCTATGTAGCCTATGATGGCATTACCCCGCTACGCACGAGAAGAAAAAAGTAAAACTGCTGTGAAGGATCGCGGAGTTGCCTTATGGAGATAACATCTCGAATATGTCCAAATTTCCTGTTTATGTGTGCTGACAACATCTACTTGTATGTAAACTCCAATAGTAGCCCGTTATCTCGGCTAGGTACCTACACGTAGTGAGCATGTGGTGCGACCCTAGTCAACCTTCCAAAGTAAGCCATTGTTTACGATACTCCTTTGCCGCATTCAGCGAGCTATTTGATTAAATTCGGGCACGCAATGCTTATTCCAATTACATCCATGATGTGCCGGGACTTGTTTACTGCATAATCCCCCGAAGATCCCGGACTCTTACCGCCTCAAAACAAATAGTTGCCAACCTTGGCACTTTACTTTAGATTTATTGGCATTCTTCTGTCTCAACCAAAGGTCATGAAGCTGTGTTGGTTGTCGATTGGCCTTTTGGCCAGTCTTTCTCAAGGCATCAGAGCACTACAAGTCAAACGTGACACGCCTCGTGACCAGCTTCAATATGATGCCAACTACTTCGATCAGAAAATAAACCATTTTCCTGATTCGGAGACATTTGCCAAGTCCAACCTAAGCAGTGGCACTTTCAAGCAGCGATACTACTTTGACGACACCTATTATAAACCAGGTTAATTTTCGCAATGCTCTATGTCTCAAATGACAACTCTAACATCTCTGCAGGTGGTCCGGTGTACCTTTATATCTCAGGAGAGACAAGTGGACCTAGCAGATTCTCTAATCTGCAGACCGGGATTATTCAAATCCTCATGGAAGCTACAAATGGTCTAGGTACGATGTCCTATTTGGATGAGAGAAATGCTATATAGGCGCAATAGAGCCAATGTGTGGTGAAGCTAACGAGTTCTAAAGGCGTCATCCTTGAAAATCGCTATTATGGGGATTCTTACCCCTTCAACACCAGCACCACAGACGAGTTGCTCTTTCTTACCACGAACCAAACGATAGCTGATAACGCCTACTTTGCTCAAAATGCCGTGTTTCCTGGGGTAGAATGTGACCTTACTGCTCCCGGCACTCCATGGATACTCTACGGAGGTAGCTTAGCAGGGGCTCAGACCGCTCTATCGATCAAGGTGCACGGAGATGTCCTCTATGGTGGCATCGCCTCGTCGGCTCCAATCAAGGTGGACGTGGGCTATCCTGAGTGGTATAATACAATTCAGAAATACGCTCCCCAGGACTGCATCTCGCGAATCAATAAGATCGTCGATAACTTTGATCTGCTCATTGCCAACAACCTGACCGCAGCAGTGAAAGAGTTCAAAACTCTCTTTGGTCTTGAGGTTCTCACAGACAATAGAGATTTTGCGGCTGCTATTGCGGTGAGTCACACTCATTGGCTTATCGATGATGATGGATCGTCAGGATTTCCCGATCAGCTGCTGACGAGATACGTAGGACCCCATCGGAAATCCGGGTTTCTACCACTCGAGCACGTGGCAGGAACTAAACTGGAATGATACCTATGGGTCGAGAGATTTCTTCTACTTTTGCGGAAATGTCTCTGATATCGATGCCCCTGAGGAGATCACTCAGGTGGACTATACGTTCGCGAATTACACGAATGGCGAACCCTGGGTGTAAGTCTGCCCCCGAACTAGGTTTTCGCCTTAACTAACTCCATATGTTGCAGTGGCCTCGGTAGCTATGCTAATTACGTCAAGAAAAACACGCTGCCACTATGTCCTTCAGGGGACTATAATAGTAATGATTGCTGGGTCAGTGATATCTGTCATTGCTGTTCTCTTGCTCTGTTTACATTTCCTTATCATTCGCTTGAGCCAGGTGTTATGCTTCGGTACTCTCGAAGCTCATTTGAACCATCTAATAACTAACTTGTTTGGCGTAGGGAACTCAAAATGCGTCAGCTTGGGCTAGCATAGAAAACACTTCCACACGCTCATATCTTTATACAAGCTGTGTAGAACAGGTAAGTTCATCCTACAGGCATATATGACCACGGGCCTAATCTATAATATCAAAGGGCGCATATATCGATTCGCCAAAAGACGGACCGGCCCTGTTGTCTCGCGTCGTGGATACTACTTACGAGCAACAATGGTGCACCTGGGCATTCCCTGCTGGGACCTACAACTCGATCCCGTCGAGTCCGGATGTGGGCGCGTACAACGACTTTGGTGCATTCAATTTCAGCGCGGATAGACTAGCGTTCATCGACGGAGATCAGGACGTGTGGAATGATTTGTGCTACCATTCCAACTTCGCACCATCGCGAACGGAAACATCTGACTTGCACCCGGAATATCTGATCACGGGAGCGGGCCACCATTGGGACTCTTATGGCATCTTGGATGTGGAAGCTGAGCCTCAGTTCATCCGGGAGGCCCATAAATGGGAGATCAAGACCGTGAAGAAGTGGCTCAGAAAATTTGACGAGTGGAAGAAACCGTAGGCATACCTCAAGGTAACCTAGGTTTTGGATCACAATCGACGAATTTCCCCTAATAAATAAATAGTCTTGAGCGTAATAAATCCTAGTCCTACAGACAGATGTTTTAAGTGACAGCAGCAGATATAATGTAAAGGTAAGGCATCGTGAAAATATAGTCAATCTAGACATGTAATTGCATCAAGTTATGAAGCAGTATGAAAAAGGTAGGGCGACAGATTAGGACCACAGCAGAAGAACAAGATCACGGGGGGAATAATAAGAGTAGTATGACAATAGTTAAGACTGGCTCTTTTAACTGCTGTTTAATTTATACGATGGAGGACATTGGCGGATATACCCACATGTCTGCTTGCTCTCCATTGTAAAGACACTAGAGTATTTTACGTCGTTGAATTATGTTTGAACTGCCTCTGCACTTTTTATGACAGTGTTTGACTAGTGTGTATGTGTCTAGGCATGATTTCTTACCAAATTCGACGTTAGGATATAGCGTTTGTATCATCAAATCTCCCGAACGTACAAGTAGAGCGACATTCCTTAGTTATTGTTAAACTTCAACCCTAGGTAAATATAAAGCGCCGCGAGTATTCGCTTCCTTTCATTTGCTCCTGCTAAGACTTTACCTAGGCATGGTCAAAGTGTGAATTATGACCAGCAGAATTTGGAAGCAGCAAGAGGATAATTTCTAAGGAATAGCCAAGTTCATTGAGGCAGTAGTATTTAACCCCTCATACGTAACGAAGCTAACAAGAGTAGGACAATGTTGTCTCTAGTCGAATTATAGAAAGAAAAGCTTATCATCCTGTCAAGATGCACACTAGTCATGGCATAGCAAGCCTTGAGGAGAATTTTAAACCTATTCTCTATTTTAAATTCTAGCTGTTTTATTGTCAAGGATTGCATCCTATATCTATCTACGTACGTTAATAAAACTCAGGGATAGGGGAAGGTAATCATGTCTACCTATAAGACAGTAAAAGATGATTGGATGGACCATTCACAGTGTGGGTGGGTGCGGGCAGACGACTAACCTTATAGCGCGCAATTGGCAGACAAACATTATCAAATCATTAGGGCGCATGGCCTAATGGTAAGGCGTTAGATTTCGGTTCTTAAGATGATCTCTAAAGATTGCAGGTTCGATCCCTGCTGTGCTCGATTTTTTTCTCTGTTTTATTTATTCATGTTTTTAACTTTTTCGATTTCCATGTCTGTTATTTTTGAGATTCGTATGAGTACTGTATTATTATCGTTTATTTGCGTGCATATAATACTATCAGCTCAATTTCATTCTCGAGTTCATTAATTTTTTTTGCTTAGGCCCCGCATGTTTGTGTTATCTACGATGACCGAGATCGGCCCACTAAAAGTTCACCTGCGATAGAAATCCTAGTCATCAAAGACTAGACCTACATACTCACCGCCGATACCGACTACTAACCGCGTGTAACAAAGACTTACATTACCTTTGACTCTCACAAGGGTCTTTAGTGTGCTACTGCCGCAATCTGAAGCTAGGCGAGCAGTCTGCTAATGGGCTGGGAGTAGAACCAGCTGTCCATTCATTTTTCTTGCAGTTGAGGAGGCGTAGTCAGGCGACGACTGAAATAACTCGAGCCCTTCACCATGTCTACTTCTTTGCCAGGTAATCGAGAATTGCCCGAGTCACAATATGATTTGAGCACGTATTGGGGCCGTGTCAGGCAAACTGCCACCATAACAGACCCAAGGTAATAAAAACAATTGCCAATGGCGTCCCTTCCTACCATCGTAATAGCTTCTCTAATGTAAATTCCTCAATGGCAGTACTCTCTTTGCTGGAAAACATGGATTGGAGCAAGCAAAAAAGTTGGTGGTGGCTTATAAACAGGGCGAGCTCAAGGACATGACGCCGGAGCTATGGCAGGCCAAGAAAGTTGTTGACTCTACAATACATCCCGGTATGATGGCATGAGAAACTCTGCATATGCTGTGGGTTTGGCCAGTCCAGTTAACCGAGTTCCCTAGATACCGGGGAGCCCGTCTTCTTGCCCTTTCGCATGTCCTGCTTCGTGCTGTCGAACCTGGTCGTTACTGCTGGAATGCTTACACCAGGGTTGAAGGTATACCCGTCCCGTGGCCCGTGAATACTGGGTTGAAGGAGATATCACTCACTATTGGGAAAAAATAGACTACTGGCACTGTCCTATGGCAAATCACCAACCAGTCCCTCAACGTCGCTATCAACTACTCGAACGCGAACAAATCGACGCCACTCTCTTACTCCAAAATCGCACAATCCTACTGCCTCGCTGTCGGCGCATCATGTTCCGTGGCTGTAGGGCTCAACTCTATTGTATCCCGCCTGAAGCGATTCTCGCCGTCAACCAAACTTGTACTTGGCCGTCTCGTTCCCTTTGCAGCTGTAGCATCCGCAAACCTTGTGAACGTGTTTTTGATGCGTGGCGAGGAGATACGCACTGGAATCGACGTCTTCCCCGTGCTCTCGGAATCCGACAAGGCGAAGTTGGCGAAGGAGGGCAAGGCCGAAAGTGAAGTCCCGAGCCTAGGAAAGAGCAAAAAGGCGGCGACTTTGGCAGTGGGCGAGACGGCGCTGAGCCGAGTCTTCAACAGCAGTCCGATCATGGTTGTCCCACCGCTGGTTCTCGTGCGGCTACAGCGTACCGAGTGGCTGAAGAAGAACCCGCGCTACACACTGCCAATCAACCTCGGCTTGATCCTTGGAATGAGTTACCTTGTGTTGCCGTTCGCGCTGGCGGCATTCCCGCAGCGACAGAAGATTCGTGCGGATAGCTTGGAGGAAGAGTTCCACGGCCGAGGAGGAGACGGAGGCATGGTCGTGTTTAATCGTGGGATCTAGATATATGCTTCCTTGGCGGCGTTGGTGGTAAAGCTTCCGGAGGTGACTACGCCGGCGTATTGGGGAAATACTTCCAGAAAATCACGATTGCAAATAGTCTTCTCGGACCAGCTCAAGAACGTTCTGATTGCCATGGCATCGACGTGAGAGTAATTGTACTCGTGCGCCACCCAAGATAGAATATAGCAATCATAAAATACAACGATCGCAGTCTCAATTGTACTAAGAAACGAAAATTGTCACGGAGTGGAATGAATATGGAACCTTACTATGGCCTGTTATAATTGCCTCTTTCAAGATATGACATAAGAAAGTTTTCCAGGTCTCAGCTTTGGGTCCTGGCGTGTTGCCTCACGCGTGTCTGGGATGTAGGCCTTGCCGCGACGATCCGGGAGGACTTGTTCGGGCTTGGGGTTCAGAAGGGGAAGAACGTGCGTCGTCGGATGGAGGGGCGTTTCTCAGAGGAGGGGCACAATTTTATTTGTCCAGGGCGTATATGAGCGTTTTCTGACGTGCTGCCCGATATGTAGGTATGTACATACATACGTATTCTGTGGAAAGAATGTCGCCGCGGATTACACGTATTGACTACGTGGGATCCTCCAAGAGCGGGTCATAATCGGGGTACTTTGGATCTACACGAATGAGGCATGTAGATAAGAACGGAGAGGTTGAAGACAAGGGGCGGTTGGTTTCTAGATAATTATTAATATCATACATATGGAACTTTGCAAGCACTAGACAATATTCGATAACATGATGAAGCATAGTAGGATGATTCTACGCTTCTATTCTGATTTCATAGTCCTGTTTCCTGTGTCCGCGGTATAAAGCCGGCCTAGGTTGTACATGAGTAGAGTACATTGGCATAAGCCGATTTACCCAGGCGATAGCCTCCGAAAGAACCTACATATGCAGCTAGTAAATCTGGTCGACATTTATGGGCTGGACGAAGAAAGGTTGGGCTAAGACAGCTGTACAACAACGTGCGGTCCGTCCCAACTCTGCGAATAGTTTTTGACATGCAATACCATCATACGATGACACTGGTTAACACTGATTGGAGGAAATTTGTTATAGTAAAACTCGACTTCAAGTGCGAACTATTACAACTTTTAACGACTCTTGTTGGAATTTTATAAAGCATGATTGTACTCATCTGTTGCAGGAGGGCGGGCATAATAGCGAAGATGAGAAGACCTGGCTGCATGTACGGTAGGCGACGTAATAACACTCCGAACTACATACGGTACGAACCTGGCTTTGCGAGATGATACATAACCCCCTTTTGCGATTTGCCACCGCAACCACCCGTCATCAATCTGAACCGCCTTCGCTGCTAGGAAAGACAAGCAGTTTGGAAGCCGGTGGATAATAGGTTTCAGATCCTATCAAGGCTACGAGGCAGAGTTGAAGATATATCTGCTTGAAAGGATCTCGTTGGCTATGACTTCATTGACCGCAGCGGAGGGGTGGATTCTGATTCTGATTCTGGATAATGCAGGCTACGATGCATGCAGGCAGGTAGCAATTTTATTACCTACTCGCCTGTCAGATGAGCGCTGGCCCGCTGTCCCGGCTCCCTTGCTCGCGGCATACTAAGTGACCGGGAAAAGGCGGCCGGCGTGTCTAGTCGGGTGGCAGACCACCAAACATCCTTAATTGGCATGTAGCAGTTGTAAGTACTATGCAATACAAGATCTGACTCTCGCAATTTGGAAACATCTTTTCTGATAGGCGTAGGAGTACAGATTAGTGATGGCTAATTAAACCTAAGAAGGATGCTTCAGGCTTGTACACAGGTTAGCTGCTGACAGTGGGAAGATTCGGACTGCTTAAACCGCAGGAGCCGAGAACTGCTTCCTGTTCTGAGATTCAAAAGTGAAGAAGAATAACTATTATTAATACCATGGACTGCCACGCGGCACAGAAACCCCCCTTGCTTACCTACATACATACATACATACAACATACGGGATGGGGTATCTTATCCTTTTAGCAGGGCAGTCAGCTAAGCATGAGTTATTAGGGCCCAACCCATTTCAAGCCGATAAGGCTGCAAATGGATATTGATATCGTGATAGTGGTGCAGCAACGCTAGGCGGACGCCGTGTTGTACTGAAGGTGAGGGGAAAGCTAATGCTGCAAGAGATGCATAGGCGGTACTGGGATGGCAGGAGACAGACTTTTCGAGCGAGCCGAGTTTTCAGTGCCAATAGCAATGTGGCAATATTTGCCGTCTGCGCCTCGGGAGTGTGTTGACGACGATAGCGTAAGTTGCTGGCAGAAGTTTAGGGACCCTGAATGGGCCCTGATGGGAATTGTATGTAATGTCGTATTTCCAAATGGGTCCACTGACCAAGCCAACCACCCAACGCCATCCACTTCCGTATGGGAGGGGCCTTTTGGCAGAAAATCGGAATCCGAGCCATGGAAGTATGTTGCAAAAGAGGCTTGACGATGAAAGAGTTGAGACAAGCTGGACGGACAACCTGAACCTTAATGGATTAATGGTGAGTTATGATGTATGATGCTTAAGTGTCTCTGGATAATCTGCCTGTAGTTCTGGTTAGACATGAGTAAGTTCCTTTTACTGTATCCTATTAAGATATGTTGCTGTATCGACAACATTGTAGATACCCTACTACATATGTAGGCAGGTAGATACGATTGTTTTTAGTGCTTTCTTAGGTTAAGTTCCATGTTGGATTTTGGAACCAAGGGACTTGGGAAAAGACGGGGGACGGTAAGAAGTTGGGGTCGGCCAAGTCAAACAAGACAGTTCGCATACTGTACAAAGCTTACGTTCGTTACTTTGGATCTCCAGGATATCATATCCGATTCCCTTCCCCATACCGTGCGAGAGTGATCGACGTTAGTGTCATTATTATTATGATTACCTCCCTTATGTACCAGCACTAGTAGTAATAGGGCAACTCTCAGGGCGAGTGCCAGGCAAATTGGCCCACCGATTACTTCATTCTCACCACAGCGTGGGCAAAAGTCCGAAACGAAGTGGTAAAGCCGTGAATCCGCGATGCACTGTATGCCCTTTCACAGCTTTGAACACAAGCGACGAGTAAATCAAGACCACCAACTCATCCTGCATTGCGGCAACGTGAAGAGTTCGTTCCACGCTTCTTGATAGAAAATACCTACTTTTTCTTCCACATCTTCTCTTCGAGTTGCGTCGAAGCGTCGAACGAAGTACTGGGTGGCTCTTTCTTTGGCGTGTCAACAAACCCGCTTCCTGTTATCATTCCCTGTCTACCTTATTACTGCAAACATTATGTTCTAC